TTCTGATAAATAAAGGTCTCTCAAGCCACACACACAAAAGTACATTTGTTCTGAGGACAAATGAAAAGATCAATGTTGTTTGAAACTGGTGAGAAGGTTAAGTGTCTTATGTCTTTAAATGAACAGTGAGGAAGTCATGAAAACCTTTCTTGAGTATAGCCTTTCTTGAGTATACATGTTCTGGAGTGCCATCTTTTCTGTGAATAGTTAACAAATTGAACATAGCTGAACCTAATAAAATCTAGGTTCATGTGTCCACAGACCTTCATTTGCTGTGTGGCATCAGTTGCTGTACTGAGACTAATCATCTCAGGAGGCTGCCAGAGAGGATTTCTCTGCTGACGTCTTGAAGCATAGGCAGTTATAGTCTGAAGTTTGTTGTCTGTCTGTTGCAAAACTGAAATACAAAATCATGGTCCTGAATGTAAAGAGTTTAGCTGCTTAGGTCAACCTCAGGTTACAGTGCAAATATCTGTGCTGGATGACTGTTAGATCTATCAGCTCTTTACATACCCCCATTCTGCCTCTGAGTTCAACAGCATGTTTTACTTAGGCACTCTAAATATCATATACCATGAGAGGCTGCTGAAGAGGACGCATCTTCTGCTTTCCCCTGCTTTTTGCTCACTATTTACAGCACATTGTTTTTTAGGACTTATTACAGCTGTCTCTTGGAGCCACACTGCAAGGGAAGTTTGGGATACTTCCTGCACAGTCACAACATTTTGGCTGGCAGACAGAACTCTGGTCTCTTAGGTTTGTCTGCTGACTCTACGGCGTCAGAGCCTCGCGTGAGGACTGGCCTGTTTGTATGGGTAACTCTCTGGGATTGTTACTCACATACAATCTAGCTGTGCAACAGGATGTGAATGAGAAGTACCTATCCTGCCATCACACCAAAGCACTTAATAAAGTGTGCTAGCAGTGTAAACACAGTACAAAAATTGTGACCCTTCAGAAAAGGCCTATTTTTTTTGGTGCTTTGCACTTTCAAATGCGGAAGCTCTCACCTTTTGTTCTTGGATTCACTTTGTATATTTTGCTTTTGGACCATTTGACTTTCCATACTATCAAAACATCTAGATGTCACTTAGACAAGTTTCACACTCCAAATAGCAGACAATCTAAAGGATAATCATCACTCAGACTTATCTGTCATACTGATCCTTATTCAACCAAGTGGCCTCACTGGATTGGATGGGAGCATACAAAAAAAAAATCCTTTTTCCTCATCAGATGTTACATGGGTTTTTCACTTCAAATATTTACTTATCAATTTACATTCACATTACATTTGAAGCTTATGATGTAGAAGCTTTAGCAACCTCAAAATTTCTTCATAGGTATGAAGAGTTTAAAAACAAACAAACAACAACAACAAAAAAGAGAGAAGTTTATAGCTGAGAGAAAACTATTGAGGTTGAGAATTCACTGATGAGAGTAAGAGAGCCATGTGTCCTTTCACTTTTAATCCCAGCCTGGAGGTAGTTAAATATCTGCGTTAGACTGCTTTTTCAAACATGCCTATTACCACAGAAGGGAATACATTAAAATTCCCTGTTAGCATTTAACCTGTTTTGCCTGGGTAGACGATCGTTTGCATAGGATAAATAGGTTTTGCGTAGTAGATAGTACATTTTTTTTCTCATGATCTTTTTCTTTTATAAAACTAATTGCATAAGTTTGGAAAGCTTGGCCTCATACTGTGGGTTGGTTTTTGTTTTTAGTGTAGCTGAGGCAGTAATTGGAGTGGGTCACATCTGTGATCAAGTGGTTTTGCAACCGTGTAATCTTACCCTGACTTGAAGTGTGCTATTTCATCTGTGAGTTAATTTTCTCTATGCTGCTTTAATTAAGGGAAGTGGAGGTTACATGCATTTAAATATTAGTGAGAAGCAGAGTAATAGAATGTTGTCAATTACACTGGTTTTAAATCATGAACAGATGTGCCTGACATTCGTCACTGCACTGAACAATATAGCTGTAAGACATGCTGATAATAGATGTAGATGTGAGTATTGCTAAAGCTCCTTTTTCATACTTGGTGAAATCTCTATTCTTTATTTAGATCCAATTGTAGTCTGTATTCTTCTTTCATTTTTGTTAACGTAGATCAAGATTCATTTTTCTTAAATTGAGGTCTTGTATTTTTGCAAAGATCTGATCCAAAGCAACAGAAAAAACTTGTACCGTCTTCAGTGGGAAAAGAAGGAGTAATCAGGTAATGCAAAAGTGGAGAATCAGGCTTGCAGGCTGTGACAAAAAAGATTTCACATCTATGAGCTTGTATAGCTTGAGGTTTAATAAGGAGCTTTTTAAATAACAGGGTTGTTTAAGAAAAATATGAGCAGTTTTGTTGACACTTCTAAGAAAAATAAATGATGAAAGTGAATGTGAGATTCCCTGCTCACAACAAAAGACCTTAACATACCTTAGCTCCCAAGGGAGTTGTTAAAGTTCTCTTGCTCCTGTAGAGGATGAATGCCATGTGAATGGATATTTTCAGCGTTGTTTAAGCTCCTAGAAATTCAGATGCTGTTTAGTGAAGTTTTCAGAATTGTAAATCTCACTCATCTTCAGCAGCGGAAATGAGAATTAGGTACGCAGTGGCATTTTCTGAAGCATTGTCTACATTGTAAAATATCTGTTCAAAAAGTTCTTCAACAAATCCAGCTCCAATTCTCCTTTTATGCATGTCTTGGAAGTTTGCTGTTGTCTTTGGCGGGAATGAACTGTAAAGAGGCAGTGACTGGCATCTGATTTGAGTCTTCAGTCCATTCTATAGAACTGATGGAAAGAAGCTTAAAAATGTTGTCCTTAAAGCTTACACTGCATTTGATTACTCTGTAAAATGTCCAGGACTTCAGGGGAATTGGACTCAATGATCCTTGTGGATCCCTTCCAACTCGGGGTATTCTGAGATTCTGTGACTAATTATCACTCAGTGGTATTTTGTATTTTCCACAATGAGTGCATAGCTTGTTTGTTTGTTGGAAGTTTGTTTATCTAAATCTGATGTGAACTGTGGAGCACTCCTGTGCTGAAGAGATGTGTTTGTCCTCTCTACAGGCCTTTCTTGTCTGTGGGGTTCAGATTACATTTTCTAAGGAACTACCTTGGGAAGAAAACTGCCCTCTTCCCTCGCTTCTGCTTCAAAACCTGCAAAAAGTATTCTACTGTTTATGACAGGTAAGTGCACTGGATAACAACTGCCATCAGTGATAAGAGAGGTGATGAGTATTAACGGTTGATTTTAACAGCATAGGCCAAATTATAACCTGAAAATGAAATGAGAGCTTTGTCAGGTCTCATGCTGTCCCACTGCTGACCACTAAAGTTTTGTTAAGCGTTCTTTGTTAGCGTGTTTGAGAAGCCTTTGGTGGGCAGGATATGAACTAAACCTCAGGATCACCCCTTGAAGTTCCAGTGTGGACCTTCAGATTTCTCTTGCTCCTGGGTGAAATGGCTTCTATTTCATCTGAGGCTGAGCAGTGCAAATTCGGACAATGACCATATACCAAGGTTGCCGAGAAGCCTATAAACCTTTAAGCAGCACTGCATGGAAAGATAAAGCACAAAATGGATGTGTGTATGAAGGGAATGCACCCAGTGTTTTGTGCATTCCAGAAGCAGCCTCAGTAGAAACTGGAATTTGAATTCTCATCTGATAACATTCCACAAAGACAACTTGCATTCCCTTCCCGCCTCCCTCTCCTAAGAGATTTCTTTTGGCTTATTATTATTTTGGCTTATTATTATTCTGCCTTGGCTATCAGGTAACTGCTGAAGTGCCAACATCAGAAAAGATTAGCTTGGGTGCTTTTTGTTCGGCTCATAGTTTAGATTCCCTGGGGTTCATTACTGTCATGGATTTTCTCTCTTACTGCCGTTGTTAACAATGTAAATGCTTGGTGTTGTTGCTCTAAATCAAGATCAGAAACGTTACCAGGTACATCAGTGCCTTTTTAAGTTTCCTTCTACTACCTCCCCCCACCCTCCTTCAAACACACCCCTGTTTGTACAGTACAAGGCCATTAGAAAGGCAGGAAAAAGGAGAGGCAATGAGTCATGTTAATTTCTTAACGGCACAATTAAAACACAAAGCCCCACCTATCTTAGCAGGAAAAAAGATCTTGGTCTGTACACCTGCTGTGCAATATTTTTGTGTTTATTCCAGATTTTTAGTTCTGAATATAAGTGTGGAAAGTAGGCTGCTGTTTCAGGAATTTGAATTAAGGAAATATTGCTTTTGGACCCGAGACATCAGAGTTAGATCAGGAGAAGCAGATCTAGTATGGTGTGATCATCTGTTCATTTCTGGGTTATGAGCTCTATAGAAAGAGATGCAGAAGTCTGTTTCCTTTGCCTGTGGGTCTGCCAGCACTGATAATGTCCCATTTAAGCTCCAACTGATGGTTTTGTAGCTAATATCATAAAGCAGAGAAAATAACTACTTCAATGAGGGTGCCTTTTTTTTTCCTTCTGACTCTATTATTAGTAATTCCAGTAATAATCACTGTGCATTTCTTTATTACAATAGCTTCTGCTTAGCACTATTGAGCAAAGATGTCAGCTTGGGAATCCAACTGCTAGTGGTTTTTTTTGTTCCTCTCTGTTATAAGAATCAGTCTGCCTTTTAGTTGATAGTTGTGTTTTTTAGAAAATCAGGTTTGGTCATACAGTGACAGCTGTAAGAAGCAGAGCAAAACATGCAGCCTAACAGGGAGGATGATGATTTCCCTATTTTTTCTGCTTTTCTGATTCTAGACAGCTTCTGAGTCTGGGGAGATTTAAAGGATGTAGACAGTATCTTGTGTATGACAAGCCATCAGTGTTGTGCCCCATGTCCTCTTCCTGGCACGCCTCTTAGACCTGAACTGTCCCTGGGATCCTGGGAAATGGCCAGCATGTTGCTCTCAGTGTGACTTCAGAGGATTTTCAGGCCCCCTTATCTTTGGTAAGTGTTCTAAGGTATGGGTAAGAATCTTTTCTCATAACTTTAATTAGTTCCTAGCATAGATAAAACCCTCTGGAGATGTCAGAACAGATGCTCTGTAGAAATCTGAAAACTAATTAATGTGTAGGAGTTGGAGCTATTTTTTCCTCTTTACTTTATTCTCTTAATATTGAGCACAGTTACAAACAGTATGCTAGAGGGAATGAAGATGAGTACTGCCACGTATGTCCCATATGACTTGTTTGCAATGCTGAACTGTGCTCAGGACAGAAGGTAAAACTGCCCTGCAGTGATGGCATACAGGGTGATTGGGAGGGATCCTCTCGGGAGGAAGAGGAGCAAATAATGCCTTTAGTGTGTTTCCATGTTCCCGTGTTTCCATGTTTCTTGTATCACCTCACTGCAGAAGGAGCCACCCTGTTGCTGTTCAAATAACTCTTGAAGCTTTGCAAAAAGGACAAAGTCATTGCCCAGGTCCAGCAAACCTCTTGCAGACATCTCAGTCCCACCTCAGTACATTGCCTGCAAAAACACAAATATAGTTGAAAATGCCTGAGATGAACTTTCGTTTGAAGTGTGGTCCCTCCGTGCTCTGTTGGCAACATAAAAGGGTAGGCACTTGGAATCTGTCCCTTGGGAAGACCCTTTCCAGGAGGACACCACAAATTTTATTTCTAATGTTTCTTAGAAAAGATAATAGCTCTCTGCAGTGTATCTGTCAGCCTGGGCTCTAACAGGGGCCTCTGTGGAGGTGTTAGGAACTCTACATGCTCTGACAGCCTTCTGCTTGGAACACCCGGATCCAGCACAGACCGCAGCACCGTCTGTTTACAGCAGATAGGAGCCAAGCTGTTCCTGCACATGAGGAATGCAGTGACTTAAAAATTCTTCCCTACACAAGCTTAAGAACAAAAGCACAAAGCAGTACAGCCAGTCCATGGGCTAGCTGAGTAAAAGGTAGGCCTGGGTTTCAGAAATAAGTGGTTATGCCATAAGGTTTTCTTATAGATACGCTCTTGGCTTAGGAATTGCCTGTTTCTTTCTCCAACTGTGTTCAAATGCAGTGAAGCACCTGCTTTCCCTTCTGTTAAGGAGAAAGAATAGCTGGCGGGAGGGCAAGGTTGCAGGTGTAGGAAGGGGATAGGAACATTCCAAATGCTTTACTGGGAATTGGTAGATGCTCTGGGAGAAGTTTGAGGACCTAGGGATCTTTAACCTGAGTTAATCTGACTTGCCTTTTAATCCAGCATCCCGAGCAGTGCCTGAACACTGCTTGCATCTGTGAACACTAACTGAAACAAGCAACGAAGACAATTTTTTAGAATATATGTTTTTAGTAGAACTAGTTAAAAGCAAATCCTCAACCAAAATCTTGAATTCCTTAGCTTTGCTCTACTTCAGTATTATTTAATGCTTGTTTTGGGTACTACTTACAATAGCAGTGAAGCAGACTTCTTTTTATGGTAGCTATAGATCTACTTATGTATTTTCCAGGAGCTAATGTAATAATATTAATATTTCTATGAGTCTCTTATTACACCTTTAAGTCCAATTTTCTAACGAGATACTGATGATGTTGTTATTCTGGCTTCAGCAGTTTTCTTTGCCTCAGGCCCCATAAAGGGATAGTGAAGATAGCCATGATTCTTGTTTGGGTAATTTTGTTGGACAAGGGACCTGTTCTCAAAAATATTTACCTGCTTTCCTCATTTGTAAGAATCGAGATTTTGCTACATCAGTTCCTCTTACATTGTGACTGCCTTACAGCATACAGTTCAAATAGATGAATCTACAAAACCTCTGCTTCAACTGATAACAATTATATTGCTCTTGTTTCAGTTAGTGTAGTGATTCTTCCACCAGCTGATAAAAATCTACTTATATTAAAATTACGGTTACCAAAACGTTACATTTTAAAGTGATTCTAAACAAAATCTCCAGGAATTCCTTTAACTATCTGATTCTGAGAAAAACAAATTTATCATCTGCCTTTGTCCATATGTATCAAAAAGAGTTACTGAGTCAAATAATGTGGTCAGTTGGCTGTGTAGCATGTATCCTTGCTCTGCACCCTCCAGCCGTCGTTAGTACAATTGCACTTTGGCATTGCTGGCTAGGTGCATGACCTAATAGATCAAAGAGGGGAATAAGACTCAACTGTGTGAAGAACAGAGCTACAGTCAGACCTGCATGGGGAGATAGAAATTAATCTTTTTAGGTCACATTATCTGTTTGAACCTATCATACAGCCTTAATTCTACTTGTGTTAGGGAAGGGGAATTTTTTTTTTTTTTTTTTTTTAAGGCTCGTAGCTCCCATTTGCAGAGATTCACTTTAAAGGCCAGTGTTGCAGCAGGTTTGTTGGTTTGTTTGTTTGTTTTTCTCCAGTGTATGATCTTTAATAAAGGCTCTGTGGAAGACCAGTTTAGGTGATGCTACCATTGCTTTGAAACATACTGTACTATTAACCAGCATCCTTATGTAAGTGATTAATGTAGCTAGGATACAGCCAGGGAAATAGAGATGAAGCAGCACATTCTCTGCAAATTCTAACGGTAGAAGCTTTGTCACATTCTGCAAGGATCCCCCAGAGTTCTCCCATAATATTTTTTTCTTCTTTGAGTCTTGTTCCGGGGTGCTGACAAGAAGTGTTCTGATTTTGAAAGCTTATTTTGAAAGGAGAGTGGAGAAGAAGCTACTTTGTATTTTGCTCTGGCGAAAGCAAGTGGTGGTAGAATATTTGATTTGTGCAAGATAAGCTATTATCAGCTAGTTTCTTAGCACTGGTAAGTAAATAGTGATAAGGTCTAATGACTCCGCCTAACGCCTCTTTCCCTTGCGTCTAAGCCAAACAAGTGTCTTGCTGGCTCCATCTGCTGGACCCTGATGATGTGAACCATACTGTGAAGCTTGGCTGGACTCACACGGAACAAACACGTCTGAAACTGAAGCACTCCATGCGTGTCATGGAAACCTTGAGAAAAGAGATGGGAACATCCGTCCCCAGAATGCATAAGTGTGAAGATAATGATTTGGAGTTGCATTCATTACGGCTTTTCTAGTTGTTTTGGGATGCCGAGAACAACCCAAACCAATCAAATTTACAAGAGAACACATCCATATAATGTTGGCTTTTACTTTGTCATGTGCTGGTGTATAGGAAATGAGACCTTGAAATAGTTTATCTCAGTCTGATTAATACACAGTTAATGAATTATGCATGAAACTCTAAATGTTTTCCCAGATACAGAAACAAAAGGGTTGCTTCTGAAGTAGCAGACCATGGAGGATAATTTCAGACTTTTAGAACATGTGTTATTCATGCATTCCAGCCAACAACTCAATGGCTGATGACCGAGCCACACCTGCTGGACTTTGAGGACTTTCCACTGTCTTATTACACTTACTAAAGTTCCACTGTCCCCTAAATTCATCTCCTTTTCACAGAAAAGGTAAAAATAAATTTACAAGGAAGCTTCTTATTGGGTACTGTGTCCTGCACAGATTACTTTCTTCAAGTAGTCACATACCTACAGTTAAGAATGTGATTTTTCTGCCTCAGATGCTTGATACATTTGAGAAAGTTCATGTTTTTAACAAAGTTATTGTGGGACATCATTTTGGGGAAAAGAAACAAGAAGTGTGTTTCATGGGAGTGGTGGTACTTCCCACTGAAAAGGGCCTTTGCTGCTGTTGTGACACAGCTGTCTCTATATCTGAGAGCGTTTCAGTGTTCTAAAACCGGACAGAACAAATTGAGAAGCCATGGAAACAGTGACTAAGATGAGAAAATATTTGCTTTCCTTGCTCTCTCTTCTGCCATGGTTGCACAAATTCTTGGAATGACTGGAAAGAAAGTTCTAAAAAATTTTGTGATTCCGAGATTCTCCGTCACGCGAGCATATTCTTTAATGAAACCATAGGGAATACAGCTACCAGGGGAATATGTGAAGATTCGCCTCAATGCATAGAATTGCTGCACAATCTGGTAGTTAGAACATCTAAGAGTAAATAGTTAATGCTGTGGACTACCTGATGGTAGTTGATTGCAAATTACAGGTTTTACTGTAGGGATGTCTCACGTTCTTTTAATTTTATGGAAGATGTAGTAACAGCTGGTTTCTGAAGTTGAAGAGAAACGTTTCCTAAATAGAATTATTTCCTGAGTCGATGATGCAATTATGGCTAGCTGGAATATTTTAATTATGATTTCCATTTGTAATCAAATATTACAAAAGCACGAGAGAGGGACTAAGATCTCATTACGTATAAAAAACAGTCTGTCTGAACCATATACCAGAAAATGGAATTAGAAACCTATCAGTCTATTACAGAGAGATGAGGGAAAGAAACCAGAGAACTGTGAAGACTTGGACCAACTGGCAGCATTAAGATCCCCAAACAGGCTGTTAGATGCAGAAATGTGAAGCACTGTAAACAATCAGTTCAAGAAATTATTTTGTGGGAGTTCAGAGCTGTAGTGAAGTTTGACATGGAATGAAGAACTTTCTACATACCTGCTCTCCAGAACAAGATTCCTGGGGAAGTCATGTCACACTGTCACACTGTGGTTTTGTGACTTTGAGAAAGCATCTTGTCAGTTCAACCATATGAGAAACTATATTTTGTGAGATGCTAAGCACAACCAAGGAGAATAGGCAGACAGACAACTGCAACTCCCCAGAGGAGAAGGAGCAGCTTGGGTGAGCCCAGGTAAGTCAACCTTATCTGATACCAAATGTCTCAACATAGTTTGTTTAAATAACATATTTCAGCTTAGTGAACATACAACTAAACCTAAAATGCTCTCTTTAAATATTTGTCAAAACATATTTAAAATACCCCAGAACCCTTGCAGAAATTCAAATGACTTTGTTGCAGAATACCATTAAATTCCGTGTCTGTGCTCAAATATGCTTCGGGAAATGCCTTGGTAAATAATGACATTTTTTGCTGTTTAGCCAGAGTTGTGATTGTGATTACAGTTATGTTTCTAGACATTTGTTTCTTTTCCAACTAGCAAGAAAGACAAACCAAAATGTCTCCAAGAGATATCATTGTTCTTGTTCCTGAAGCAGGTGGAAGTTGCAGGCATTGACCCCTCTTAGTATTTGTTCTATTGTTTAGTAATCAGCCTGGTTTTAAGTTCTAAGTCAAGTGATTAGAAAAGACTTACTGGCCTACACCCAAAATCTAAAAATGAGCATGAGCATGTTCCTTTTTCTGACATGGCTTGACCTTCTTCCCTTTTTATAATTGCTACTATATGAGGGTTAGTATCAGCCTTCTCTAATCTTTTAGATTGCCATTGATTCTATGAATGACAAACTGTGGCAAAAATTTGTGAATGCAAAGAGAGTGAGATGTTATTGTGAGTTAGCCAGTGCTAGAAAAGTAAAGCACAGCTATGCATTATTTTAGGCTTAAAAGTCTGCAAACACAATCATTTAATCTTTTTACTCAAAGCTAGAGTTTTAGAAACCCTTTGCTTTATTGCTTTCTTACTTACCTGTGACACAACACCGTCACCTTGGGCAACCAGTAAGTCTCTAATAGGAATAAAGCCTGTAGTAGTCCATAGCAGCAAGCAAGCTTAGCAGAAGGAATTAAGAATTAGCCTTTTCTAATACCCTGAGTAGTCGTTTGAACATCCTTTACAGGGCTAAAAGAACTCTGCATTCTAAGAGCTATGGAGAAGACTTTGCTTTTGAGTTAAATGTTATCTTGACATCGCTAGCAAGCAGCACAAGCAATGGCACTTTCTCCAAGTCTGTCAAGGTAGGTGCTTCTCGTTTTTCTATTTTAAGGAAAACAGTAAGGTAAAATGAACAGGTTGTATGCCACTGAGAAAAGAATCGTGATACTCTCTTCCTCTGTTGTTTCAGTAACCGTTTGCTTGACTCAAAGGTCTTTTGTGAAGTGGGATACTAAATGCGCTCATTCTTCATTTAAGTGAGCTGAGCACTACCTGTTTTTTTATCTAAGTGATAGAATGCTAAGCACTCTTCAGTATATCTTCAGAAACTTGAACTTGAATTCATCTTAAGCAGTTTAAATTAGAGGTATTCTTTTAATTCAGTAACATGTTACTTTCCTGGAATTCATTAACTAAATAAACGCATTCTCTGTATTTTTAAAATTTATTAGAAGAAGAGAGGTACTCTTTTTCAGGGTTTTAAAATGAATAATGAAGATGAATTTTTAGTATCCAAAATATGCTTGAGGGAGCAGTGTATGTATCTTTCGATATATGTTTTGCTATATGCTACAAGATTTGAAATGGACTAACTACATCGACCTGGTGTTTGCTCTATTGAGCTGTTGTGTTGATCTCTTCAGTCTTCATTGACCTGAACCAAAGGAATACATTTCATAACACCTGCAGTTCATCTCGCTTTATCAGCCACACTGAGATTCTGTAGTCAAATAATTTTGAAACAGAGAAGAACTCTGAAATTCTCCAGTGTGTTCATTATGAGGTTTGGGGGTCAGTTTGTGCTTGGAAATGTCTCAGCAGGGCAAATTGCTGAAGGTGATACAGATCACATCACTGCCAATCTCCAGATTTCAAACTCTTTATCTTCTAGAAGTTTCATCTAAAATCTTTTATTGTTCCAGTATCTCACAGTAAACAGGGATTTAAATGTCACTCAGCTGCTTAAAATGATTAGTTGCAAAACAGCTTTTCTTAAAAATGCAAACTTTCTCTATTCTGGTCACTTAATAAATAAATAAATAAATGTTAGCAATGATCCTTCTAACTCATCCCTAGAAATTCTAAGGGACTTCCTGTCCTAAACAAAGAAAAAGGAAAGTTAGTCATACTTATGTCAGGACAAATATCTTGAATGTCGTTTTAGTTGAACAGATTGAAGGAATAGATTGTCACAATCTAAAATGAGCATGTAACGGAAAGCCAAATGATACCCACACAATAGATTCCCTTGAACGTGTGTTGGTTATGTTGCTGCTGAACTGGAGCTTGGCAGCTGGCTTAGCTGCTAGTAGGCTTTGAATGCCTCAAGGATGAGAAAGAGCCTGCACCTCATTGGTGCTCCTGAGGTGTGAGAAATTGGAAGCTTTGCATAACTCAGTGACCAGCAGTCAGGAAGTGAATGGCCTTGCCAGCTTCATACTTGTCAGCATGCATAGAAATTGAACAGATCAGTGGCAGCAATAAAACCTCAGTCTATTGTGGTTGCATCTGCTTCAACTGTGAAGACTTTTTGCTGGGAATTGATGTGTTCTAACTAATACAGCTCAGGCATTCTCTCTATAGCACTAGCTATTAATTTCATGTGAGCTGAAGGGGAAGTCTTCAAATCTTCTTTCTACTTGTAGCCTCTTGTTAATTTCTCAGTTGATATACAGTTTTCTGATAATAGCACCAATTTGAAGAATATTGTTATGTGCGTTCACTCTTTCCTCAGATAGTCACGTTTGAAAATCAAAAGCTCGAAAGTAAGATGTGGGCAAACATAGTTCTAGCAACAACCCATCTGCATGGACAGCTGGGGTACAATGAGGATTAAGCAAAGGTCAAAAGAGTCACTCATCTTCGGGGTAGGTATCTGCAAATGGGGTCGGTCAGGAGTGCAGTCATCAGGAGTAATTGCATGTGTACATGTTCAGAGCTACGAGTGCTTGCTTTCAGTCTTGTTCCCACTTCAATCTGGTTGTCAGGCTTCCATCACAGGCAGTTGAAAACCTCTTCCATCAATCTAAGGCCAATTTATAACTGCAAAAATACTGATGAGTAATGTTTCCTTTTCAGTGTGTTTCAGTTTGGGATTTTTTTCATTTGCAATTTTAACTAGATGTGTCCTGATGAAGTATGCCTTTGGTGTTGAGTTTCCTGGGTCTCATTGGGGAACTTGACTCTTGTTTATGGAGTCAGAAATATGATTACTGCCTTAAATATGTTTTTTTTCCTTTAAATACCAATATTTTCAGCAAAATCTTGTGGGAAGTCAGATAGTAATGTCCACTGAATTTGCAAGTTAATTTCATTTAAAAAAAGAACAATAACAACAAAACCACAATTTCACTTTATGATAGCACCACTGTAATAATTGTTGGCATGATCCCAGAAGGCTTGGATGTGGACCCTGTTGAACAAGGTACTAATCAAACACAGTACAAGAGATGATCTATTTAAGCGCAATCAAAGAGCTAAATGGAATCCTTAGACTGGATCAATCATAATGTGGTTGTTACAGTTGACAACCATGTCATAACTGCATTACTTTGTCCTTTTGTCAATTCTAATTCTCCTGTTAAAATGCACATATGCTGAGAATTAGCTGCAATGAATCACTATAACAACGGTTTGTAATCTGACAATGGGCCCAATCCTCTGGGTTCTGGAAAAGCCTTGTTCATGCCAACTTCATTAAAGGTGGAATTCAGCCTACTGCAGAGGACTGGCATAATGCCAGCCTATGCTGAACTCTTCTCTAAGTCCTAAAACATGAAGTGCTTTTGTTTGTGAGCTCTGGTAAATCTGACCTGGGGAATTCCACACTTGTAAGTTCTGTAGGATTGGGCCAAGACAGCTGCCAGTAGTTGCTAAGGGAAAAAGAAAGAAGTAATGTGTTCTGTTGCATAGCACAGAACACAGTACATCTTGGTGATCTAAAATTTCTTCTGGTATTTTCTTCATCTTCTAGATGAAACTAGAATTCAAACTAGAATTGGACTTCTTAAAATTTGCTCTGAAAATTCTGTCAAATTGTAGAATATTGAAGACTTTTTTTCAGTGCACTTCTATTGTCCTGTTGCATATGAAATTTCTCAGGTGATGAAAAGTGTTTTGAGTAGATCAGTAAGAAGGAATTTATTGACTAGATGTGTGTTTGAATGTGTGCAAGCACGAACTGAATGTATTCTTTTTCACTTTCATGCTTTATCTCTTCTTGATCAAGAGCTCTTTAAGAATTGAGTACATCAGCTTGTTAAGTTAAGGAGGAAGCAGAAGTGTGGTGGCCCAGGGAGGATCAGTTACTTTCCCATGCAGGGTCCTCTTCTGGCACTTTTGCAGTGGTGCCTTTGCAGAGGTTTGCACGTTCTCCTTTTGGTGCCTCTTGCAGTATGTTTTCAGTAAAACGTTATCACTGTTGTCAACTCAGCACCTTGGTTAGTGTGTTTCCACAGGTGTATCTGTTAGACTTATAATCTGGAGAGACTGGGCTGTGATCATTTTTGTTAGTAACAACCTGCAGGCATGTGAGGAAACATCAATATACATATATTTCTGTCTTAAATTTCCCTCTTCCACTTTTCAGTCAGATGCTGATGTTTTGATTAAAACATTAATACATTTCAATTAATTAGAGAAGAAGGAGAGAAGATAGTGACTTAACTGAGATGGTGAAATGGGCAGCTCCCAGAGACATGCAGACACTCCTAGGAAAGAATGCACTAAAGAGGACATTTTTATGGGGAAGAAAATGTTCCCGGGTGTACTTGATTCCCCAGATGCAGATGGTCAGAAGCCACTGACTGGGAAAGAAGTAGTTTGATGATACTGAGCAGGGGCCCATTTTGTAGTGTGGTGATCTGGTGACTGCAGTGCAAAGAGACTACCAGGAGGAGAGCAATAAACGAGTTACATTTGCAGTTAAGCAGAGTCACCAGCTGCTGTATTCATGTGCAGGGAAGCACAGTGAGTATGCTGTTCCTTCTCAGAGTTGCCCCAGTTTAGAGCTTCCAGTTGCTTGCAGTCTGACCACAGTATTTCTCTGCCAGCCAAAGGGAGGATGTCCCACCGCCAGCAAAGCATCTTTGTGCTGACATGCAGAATTTCTCTCTTCTGGAAGCTGTCTGCACTGCTTTGCTCAGACAGAAGGTGAACTCAAAGAGTCTGTAAGAATCTTTAGTGTAACAGTGTTCTGCTGTCTTTTATATATATATATATATATATATATATATATATATATATACAAAATAATATATATAAAATTCAATATATATATATGTATATATATATAAATACAATAATAATATTATTATATTATATATTGTATAATATATATATAATGTAATAAATAAATAAATAAATATTTGTTTATTTATTTATTTATTTTTCCCATGAGTGTATGCAGTGTAGTTTAGAAACCTGCTTATAGAGCTCTTGCTTTATGAAGCCACTTTCAGGTCAATTCAGTGTGCAGCAGAAAATGCACCAGTTGTTGATGTAGCCATGACCTGGATGGCCTGTTCAACAGATACAAGTTTTGCACATGCGAGTTTTTCCCAGGTTAGTGAGTAAATATACAGTCCTAGCTGACTGGAGAAAGATTAGTTTACATCTGAGGGCTTAATCTATGACACAGACTAATCTTGATGTGATCCTATTACTGCAAGGTCAGGTGGGATTTTACTAGTGTTTGATTGTCTAGTTTTGCTCATTTGACCTGGGTGGTTTGTAGTTGTTTTTTTTTTTTTCTTTACCCGTGCCTCTGAGACTTTGTAGTCAGGAGAAGGAGAAACAATCCCAACCACAAAAATGTAAGGAGATGGGCAATTAAAGGGTAATATAAAAAGAAAGACAGAAACCTCTTCCCCATTATGTTATCCCTTTATCAATGTAACATTAAAATGTAGGAAGTAGCAAAGAAATTCCGCCATCATCTGTCAGATTTCTAGAGATTTGTGTAACATGAGTTGGCCACATTATTGTGATAAGTGTTCCTAGTGGAAACAGGTAACATGTAACTGAAGGAACTTGGTAAGGTGGAAAATGGCTGCTAGATGGAGGGCTGGGTTGTGTGTCTACTGCAGCTAGTTTCCATTTGGTTCTTAGTGTAAGACAGCATGCTAGGCTGGTAGCTGTTATGTTTAGGTCTTGCTGGTAGTGATCTATAGCTGATTAGAATCTTTTTGTTTCCAGTGATCAATGGCGCCTCTCACCTTTGAGCGTGAGTGGAATCTAATTTTCTAATGAGCTGATAAGAGGGTGAGGTGCCTGTGGGAATGTATAATATTGTCTGCCTTCAGCTGTCCCCAGGAAATCAAGACAAAAGATCAAGGGTTTTGTTCTGCTCTTCTGTAGAGATTGTCAGCACAATCACATTTATTATCTAGTGTTCAGTAGACAGATGAGTGTAATGGATTTTTCTACTAACTGGTTTCTTAGTATCTTCGTTAATTCAATTACTTTCCACTACTTTGAAGCACTTTTCTTTTTCAAACAAATTTCTGTCAACACAGAGCAAAGAATTGTGATCAGAATTCATCCAGTGAAAAGCTAAAACTTGGTGTACTGTCACAGGCCTCAGTGAGCTAAGCAATGAGAATAAATGAGGATCAGCAATCCAACGGGAGGTGCTAAGCTCTGGTTGAGAGACCATCTAGGAGATGCTGATTCATTACTTACTGATGTGTGAGAGATCACAGAGCTGCGTTACCTAACTATCATCTGAGACAAGTAAATTTAGCAGTAAACAGGCCTTTCAATTCTAGAGATAGAATGCAGGAGCGGGATCAATCCTATTGGATTTATATTCATCTTCCTTTGTTCTTAACCCTGCTGATATGTGAACTCTGAACTACTACTGACCCTCGTAAGTGAGCGCTCCATTAGCAGTTGGGGAGATGATGTTCCCAGCCAACACCATCTTTTTATTTTAGTAAGCTTCAAAAATGTTGGCAAAGCACTTGATATCAAATTTGTCAACATTCTAAAACTCGTTACTATGAAGAACTCGTGGAATTGTCAATTCAGTTGAGAATGCTCTTGTGAAAATGTAAGGACTGTTTGCGCAAGTATTTTGCACACAAATAGCATACTTCCATGTGTCCAAGAGCTCCAAGTGATTTTACAATTATCAGGGAGTTAAGAGTATTTACAGAGATTTAAATGTTTGCTTCCTTTATTCCAATGGAGAAACTTGCACGTTGACCCCACAGGATATCACGGCCAGGACGAGAGGGGCAGAATCAGATATTTACAACTGTGTTTTATGTTTAATTCTGACTTGCGGCTGATCTGCATTTCCTTCTTGGAAAATTGCTTATCCCTCCAGAACTTCTCTAATAACAATTGACATTACTTAGATCAAATTTATGTTATGTATATATTTAATTTACTCATTTGAAAAGCTGTTTTCACAGTCAGTGCCGACATGATTGTGTGTGATACCAGTACATTATGATTTAGGAAAAGTCATGAAGCAATTAAATTCCTTTCCTTAGAAGCATAGGGTTTGGGTTTGTTTGTTTCTTCGTCTTTCAAACAAAGATGGGCATTTCAGCAGATCTGTAACCTTTTTATCAAGCTAGTATAATGTAAAAGGTTAATTTAATTCGATGTTAAATGTTAGACTTTTTAATTCTTATATTTCCCGAAGGAGGAAAAACAAAATAGTATTAGAAAACACAGTGCTTCACATTCCAGAAAATGTGTTCTACAGAACATCCACCAGATGGAGCTCATGATGCTTTAAAAGCGAAAACAAAACAAAAAAAAAAAAAAGGAAAAAAAAAAAAAAAAAGATTCTGGTGAGACAGAAGTTGCAAGTTAGCCAGGTGGAGTTAAAAAGTACTCATTATTGAATATACCAAGTGGATGTGGTACGTCTAAATATTTGTTTGGCATTTCACAATGAAACATAATTCTATGCATAAGAGAACTGATAGCCTAGCGTCTAATGGAAGGCAAAACTTTCCCAACGCAGAATTGGGAGCAATTAAATTACCATCCAATAGTTTCTTCCTTAATTTCAGGAACTTTCAGGTGGAGTACAGTAGATGGCCTTGTTTCACTGTTTAGCACGTTGCAAGTAAGCAGGTTTCCAGCTCTCCTGTTGCTTAGTCCTCTCTTGTTTCCCAGGGTAAGGAGTGGACTTCTGTTACCTGTTGTAGGTGTTGTCTTGAGATGGGGAGCAGAAGTCAGCGTTTGTTTCCAGGTTTATGGGTTCTTTCACTCAATCCTGAAATCAGTGGAGTTTTGTGGACTGATATCTGATGATACAACTTCAAAACTTACTTATGTTTAATTTTTTTTCTCTGGTTTGATTTTTCCATCTCTCTCCTTTGCTGTCTTTTCAAGTCCTCAGTTACTAAGTGAGTAAGAGAGATTCTGTCAGTCTTTATTTTGGTTGCTGGTGGACAATGAAACATTGTGAGTATATCTAACTAGCTTTGTTTGAAACTCCAGTATAGCATTGCAAAAAGTGATATACTGGATACTTACATGATGACAATTTTTTGCTCAGCTAAAATGCAATAGAAAAATCTTAAGGTTACTGTCATGAAATCCAATGCTCATTTAAATCTGTGTAAAAACTCCGTTTGGTTTTAAGATTGCGATGCTGAAACTGACTGCTGCCTGTGTTTATACAGTATGTAACTTTCATAATGGAAGCCTACCACCAATGTTCAACAATTCTGCTTTTGAAATCAGTCTTTTTGAGCCTTGGATATAGGATCACAGCTTGCACTCACAATGGATTCCTGGTGCTTCCATCTAGCTCCTGTTTGTTTTACAATAAAAGGGCTATCATTCAATTCTTATTACAGAATTTAAGTGACTATGATAATGTATAGAATGCTTAAACCTTGTCTCATATGTAGGAGAAAAACTGCCCATGCTCGTTTCAGAGGAACTGGACAGATACAGTCATGACTTAATCAGATTCAGAGGTAAATTATACATGCAGGAGAAGGAGCTTTTTTTACTCCTACTTATAACATTCCAGTCATTTCCAATTGTAAGTCCTGTTGTGTGATTATTCACATCAGGTTACTGTTCAAGACATGGTGACATTTTTCATCTCTTTCCATCAGCTCCTGTTATGAACAGTTTAGTAGCATGTTAAAATGGGCTTTGAATACAAAACAAATAGTGAACTGCTTTGCTTCCTGCAATGACTGAGAGTCTGTGAACTATTTACTTATAGCTCACCTACATGAGTTTTAAATCACTGATTTTGCAAGTTAGTACAGAATTATTATTCTTAATCACAACTTTATTTTTATTTTTTTTCCTCCGGGAAATTCTGTATTTATTGAAACCTTTTTTTGGAAACATTCTTATTTTCCTCACAAAACTGAACCCCAATAGTTTCACCAGAAATGCTACTTTTATAGGAAATGAATTTTTTTTGTACAGGATTATATCTGCATATTGCATCATAAACCCATTTCTTTTTGGCAGTCAGTTCAACCAGTTCTACTGTATTCTCAAGTTTGTAAGAAACTAACTGTGTCTGGGTTTAGTTCCATTAGTACTTGCATTAAATCCCAAACCTTAAATTTCCAGTATTTGCCCTGTAACTAACACCAATTGATTTTAATGAGGATCTGTCTCCATTCCTCATTTCTATGTGGAAATGCTTTACCTATGTCACTGGTTGGAGAACTGATGAGTAAAGTAGGCTTTAGATAAAAGGTGTTACTTTATCCAGAAGGAAATGTTTAACAGTAACTGTGTTTAAATAAGCCTCCAAATATCAGCTCTGATATCTTTAGAAAAGTTTTGAGGAAAGGGACAAAATGACAGCATTCTTGTAAGCCACAGATGTGTTTCTGTGAGGGATTATTTAGCACTGTTTTCTTATCTGAACTGCACACTTGATGTCGCATTTTAAATTTGGAAGAGCAGCTAGTAGCAAAGTACTCACTGTGCCAACTGGTAGAAAGCTTGGTACTAGTTCAGTGCCTAGGGCACAAGCCAGTAGAACCAAGCACTGTGTGTAGACAGAGATTGTTTTCCCTCTCCTGGTACTTGTACTTTTTCGTACACATATCAAAGAAATAAATAAACATGGAAAAAAATTTCAAATTTCCTTTTCCCCATCGTCTGCCCACAAAATAATTTGTGAACTCTGCAGAACATTTACATTTAATCTCTAGTAACCTGGCATCTGAACTCAGCATTCAAACTGGATTGCTGCTGTCTTTATTTTCTTTTCCTGTAGGGCTTTGCTTATTTTGTTTTAGTGTCACTCAGTTGTCTCTTCACAGCTGTAAAGTCTAATTTGCATAAAAAATCTTTTTTTAATTATCTATGTAGCCACATGTGTTTTAAAAAAAACAAAAGACAACAAATGCATTTTTCTTTCCCCAGCTGGAAGACCTAACCAGTCACAGACTGCCAGGATGTGACAAGTGATTCCTCAGAGCGCTCCCAAGGTGATTATATGTGTGCCACCAGCTCTGTCATTTGGATTGGAAATTGAACATGATGCAGTAGGGAAGGAATCCACTGTCTGGTTTCCACCTTTTTGAAAACAGAAATAAGATGTTACATGTCAGTTGTCTGAATTTTGTTGTCTAATTAAGTGACATTTAAAGTCCAAATATATATATGTATATATTTTTGCCTAGGTTACAACGGCATTGTTTTGAAGATATGTAGTTTACAGAAAAAGACATCAACTTTTCTTCACCCAGCAGATACCAGTCCCCAGCAACCTTCAGTGTACTCATTCTGATGGTAGGTAACTGCTGAACAGTGTTCTGCCTATACTTCATTTCAGGGATAGAAACCAAAGAAGAGCGGTTGAAATTTGTAATGGCTGATACCTACAAATGAGAGAAAACAGGTACATTAGTATAAAACTGGGCTGTGTGAACTCTTGAAGGGAGTTGAGGACATGGTGTTCTCACTGTGAGTTTTGTTCTGCACTGGAAGGTACATAGGATTTTTATAGAACTTGATGTAAAACTTTCTACGTGTACCTTATTTCAGTTGCAGTTACTCAGAGCTAAGAAAGATGCCAAGCTCTGTGTTAAAAAATTATGTATTTTTTTTGTTTTTTTTGCAAATAATAAGTGCACTTTGGCTAGCAAACCATCATGCTTCCAAGGAAAAACACTATAATTTCATGAATTTCTTAAGTATCTTCATAACATGAAAATTCAGAATTTCTGTATTTTGTCTATTGCATTTAGGGTTGTATAACTTTGGAATTTTTTGTTTGTCTGGTTTGGTTGCTAGTTCCCCTCTATCCCTGAACTCTGTAAACTTGCTCCTTATTTAAGTCTTATTCAGGTTAACATTAAGATGAGAAATAATAGGCCTGCCTATAGTGTGAAAAAATGGGTTTTATAATTCTGAACCTAATGTCATCAACTGACCAGAAAGAAAGAAAGAGATTTTGAAACTGAATGGCAATAGTTGTAGTAGTAGAGCTGTATGATAATAATCAATTATTCAAGGTTGTGGGGTCTTTTTTCATCCCCTAGTGTCTCTCTCATCATCTGGAGCTCTTTCTATGTACATCTTTCTCTGTAGTTTGGTATTAAGTCACTGTACCATGCTGTGGAGCATTACCCCGACTGTTCTGCATTTCTGTTGGACAGTGCTGTGTTTAGTTAATAGATTCTCTATTTCTCTGTATCCTTCCCTTTCTTCCCTCGTTCTTTATGTATTAGATAAGACAGAAAAGTAGCTATAGCACAAATGCATAAGCATTCAAAAGAACAAAAAAGAAAAAATTAAGGCCTAATTATTTCATTTTTAGTAAACAAAAAATTTTAGTTAAAAAAAAAAAATCCAGAGAAGTGTGTTTTTTTTCTAAATACAGTAGATTCATAATGAACTGTGGTTTTGCAGCGGGACGTTTTGCTTCTTTTGGCTAATAATGGGACCTAGCAGTTCATGGCTTTCTGGTTTTAGTACATAAAAGTAATGCACTACTTCTTTGATCTATGTGACTCCCAGTCAGTGAATCACAATATGTAGATGTTGGGAATGGAGAAGGCTGAAAAAATGTTACAGTCTGAGGAAATGAGAAAAGTAGGATAATGCTGTTTATTGGACCACTGAGAAGCTTGTGTAACTAAATAACGATGTTCTTTCAAACGTTAAAAAGATTGTCACTGTTTGAAGTGCTCAAGGCTCCAGAACAAGGTGTGCTAGTACCTAGGTTTGTTCTCTTGTTCGTTTTTCAAAAGTTAATTTACTGTGGCAAAATGTCTGATTTGGAAATCAAATGGATTGATCAGATGAGTTTCTTGCTTCTTTCCTTTAAATTGATGATAGAATGTTCTTCACTTTCTGCTTCATCTCATTTCAAATGGACCCTCCATCTTCTACTGCAGAGAAAATGTAAGAAGTTTCCCTGCAGCTTTTTATGCATACTATAATGAGGAGCAACTGAAAAGAAAAAAAAAATTGGAAGAGGCTGGATTTTTGAAAGTAAAAAATATGTAAAATAATGAACTGGCTCTGAAGCCAGCCTACTCATAGGGAGTATATAAATGGGATTCATAGGATTAAATATTCTTGGACAGTCGTTTTGATGTTTCCATTTATTTTCAGACTGGGAGAGTAGCAGGTTCATCCTGCCAGTAACTGAAAAGCAGGTGGGTTTCTGAAGATTTGAATGTCTTTAATAATGAGTAGTTTGCAGCACCACAGTGATTTTAGACTACATTGGCATACATGTCCTCCTGCAGGAAAACTCCTGATGAAGTAGAAAATTGATTTGCTTGTTGGGATGCTTCTCCAGATACTTTGGTCACAGACTTTGAAATTGAAGTATCTTGCTAACAGTGAGATTATTTTTGCACTTTAGTTGCTCTTTTATGGGTATTCATAGTTTTGGGTTTTTCATAATTTATTTGCCAATTGATATGGTTTTTTTTTCCAGTATACTGAAGGTGACTGACAGGTGTGCACTTTCATGTCACAGGTTGTTTAGATACAGAACCAGTGTAAAGGTCTTTCACTTCTCTGCTGTGCCAGATTCTCATCCATTGCCAGCCACATCCTGTTCCAAGAGATTACCACTCTTTCCTCCTCCAGTGCTAATTTAAACCAGATCATTATACAGATCTGATTTAGACCACGCAAGCTGTTAAATCAGCTCAACTGATGAAGTGGAAAACTCCAAGGAGAAACAGGAACCTTCAGCAACAGTGTTTGTTTAGAGGGATTGCTAACGTGAGACCAGTCCTAAAACTACAGGCTGTTTTGGAAAATCGATTAAACGTGCTTCTAAATCACGAGAGCTGATGAAAATGCCAGCGTGGTGCATGTTTCCATTCCTTTAGCAAAGTGGGATCCACCCCCACAGTGTTAAATAAGCACAGCGGGTGCGAGAACACCAGCAAAACTCAGTTGCCTGATTTTTCAGCTGGGGTTAGTATTTAGCAGCTTCTGTTTCATTGACTGTTGATGGGCTTTCACCAGGCTCTTGGAAGGTCTCCTGCTGCTGATGACTTGTGAAAATCCAGCATAATCCTTAAAATATATTAAAAAGGTGCACAGGGAGCTTTGGAAAAAAAAGTCCTAGAATTGCAGATCCAAGACAAAAATGTGAATGAATTTGTTATTCGCATTTTACATTGTATCCTGGAGAAGAGAATCATATTCTGAATTTCTACATTCTGAGAGAAAATGGAAGAACACCAACTGATTAAGTAAAAGGCTTAAAAGCGATTTTGACACCCATGATGTCTTCCTGTGGCAAAAATGGCCCTGTGGATTTTAACTTCAGTGTTGAGAGTTTTCTTAAAATGCAACATGTGAAAGTAAAGACGAAACGAAGAGAAGCTGAGAAATGAAAGAAATTGGTAACAAAAATCAGCTTTAACTTCCTTTTTCCTATCCAATAGTTTTGGTTTTCTTTTGTTTCATTCTAGGCATCTGTAGGTAGCTACCTGCTACTGGTTATAACAGGATTGTTTATTTGAGAGCTGGCAGCTCTCTGAAGATGGGAGTTGAAGATAAGCTTTTTACAGTCAAGCTGGCATACCCACTTACAGAACTGAAATGAATTGCTCCAACTGCTTCATCTTTTGTTTTTCCAAGTGAGAAAAACAGAAAGGAGCACAGTCCTCATGCTACAGCACTGAGATCACATTCTTGTACATTAGAGCATAACACACGTTGCCTATCTCAGGACAGATATTTTTACTATTTCTATGCAAAATGTCTAAGGACTAATTCTACTTAAATAAAATAAAGTTTTTAAAAGCCCCAAAATCTCTCTTCTCTGTTCAGTGTTTGCTGGGCAACCTTTGTGTTTAAGCCAGCTGAAGTTCTGGACCTTAGAGAAAATGGAATTCTCGTGCAGCAAGATTCAGATTGCTGCATGAGAATTGCTAAGTAAGAATCATTTAATCTTCAGTCAGCATGTGCTCATTTTTGTCTTTTAGCAAAATGCCATCTGTCATCTCCTGAGTAATGCAGTCCAGTATCAGTGCAGGAAATTGTGCTGCTGGAATATGATGCCAGTTTGCGAGGTAACATCACAAACAGGGACAAGGATGCACCTCAGCTTCATTCATTGCAGCTGGGCATGTTTAGTGCCAAAAATTTAAAAAATTTAAAAAAATTTAAAAAATTTTGCACAAGAGCTAAAAGAGTTTTGAATTTTTTTTTTTTACTCCTTGACAGCATTCATAGTGGATTTGTTTAAACTACATTACAAAACAAAAGTGCTCTCCCTAATATGACTTCAAGCATAGCTATTATCTGAATACTTTTCAGTTTTATTAGCAAATAAGATGCTAGATCAGGAGGATGTATTGTCAGCTCATGAAACCTGTTACAGCTGATCGGACTCACTGCTGTGACATTTAACCACAATCTGAGAATATGATTCAGAATGTAGTAATCAAAAGTAAACTTTTGTGGATGAAAAATGCAGGATTGGATAAATCAAGTTCTGGTGTAAATGGAATTCCTCAATGATAACAGTGTAGAAGACTAGAAAGTAATTGCAATGCTTTGCTACTAAGTGTGGAAGCAGTGTGCCTGGCACCCACACTGTCTTTGCAGAGGTACAAAGTGGTTGAAGCTGAAAACCCTAAGTAAATGAACAGTAGGATTGTGCATCTCCTTGGTGTTATTGATATTTCCTTACAGACACAACCAGTCAGATAAGCATTCCATGCGTATATTTCTGAAATGTCCCTCTTGATTCTCTGTGCTGTTGTCCATATTCTTTAAAGCAAACTCTCTCACAGATTCCTTACTTTGAGAAAACAAGTCCTTTTGGAGTCAATTAGATAAATACTAGTTGATAATAATTCCACTGGTCTTTTAAAGCACCTTGCCTCATTCTCATTTCTTGTTTATTCTTTAATAACTGCCTCCTTTTGCTTTCGCTCTGCATATTTAGACATAATAGTACTAAATATATGAATGGAGCTATTCACAGAAATCCATAAATATAATACAAATATAATACACAGCACACCTTGTTTGTCACAATCCATACGATCTAATTGTCTAAAATCTAACTTGTGATCTTATGGGTTGCTTTCTTTTAAAACCTTAGATCTACTGTAGGCACACTCTCTGTCAGCAGTTACCCTTTAGCATCGCACAAAGCCTGTAACCTATAGTCTGCTGAGGACCATCTGCTCTTTTCATGTGCCTTTCTACTGATACCAAAATAATTTCCATCTGACTGCTCTGCACTTTGCACAAATAAAAACCTTTTGGGCTGCTGCTTCTAAAGTAGATTTACCTTCAATCACCATTTATTAAATCTCTGTCCATTAAAAACCATAGCTTGCAGAAGCTGCGTGCATTAAGCCTGATTATAGAGACGGTAGAGAGAAGAGGGAGGGGAACAGCGGTACATTGCCTTGTTTTTCTACTTGTCTAGTGGCTGGTAACATTTGTGATAGGGTGCATGTCAGAACAGGAGTCTCATTTCTTGGCTTTGAATTTGTTTTATGCATCCACGACTCTTTTTATTTAAGATGTAACTTAATGATTGTTGGTCTTGAAAAAGACCGCTCAGACTGTATGACTAAAATCAGAGTTTTCTTTGGTGGTGGGGTACTAGATTCCTTATGGAGGGTAAGGGCCAGGGGACTATGAAGGGAAGAGGAGGAAAGTTCACAGGTTCCTTACGGAGGATGAGCAGCTCCTTCAAACGCACTTCATTTAAGGGCTCAACATCTGGATCACAAAAGGTAAGCCTGCAATTACCCAAATAGCACAAGGTGAGGGAAGCAGCTGGAGACACGCTGTTTGTTTTCCCTTTGTTTTTTTTTAATAGCTGGTGTCACTTTAAATGAGAATGATTTTCTTTCCTTCTGTGCTGTTTTTTAAGTTCCAGAGGTATTTGTCGTGTTCATTGCTTTGGTTCTGACAATGGATCTTATCCTTACTATGGGAGTTCATTCACAAGTGCACGCTGCATTAAGGATCTTTGTGATAAATATCACCAAATAGGAGCAGCCTAATTATTCCCAGGCAAAAAAGTATTTTAATTTCTGGTATTTGCTGCTTACGCTAAGTTTAGATGCAATCAGTGAGAAATCTGATAGGGTGTATAAAAGGGTTTTGATGTGATTCACTGAACATCTGCAGCAGATAGACTATACCAAAAACAGTTTGTGGTTGGATCGTGCGCTTTGCAGTATATGAAAAAAAAAGTCAAGGAAGGAAAAAGACAGATGAATGCTTTATAATATGTACTTTCACTCTGTTCTTGTCATAAGCTTACTAGTTGTAAAAGAATATTGAGGCTTTTTGGTAACCAATGAACCACTCAAATTTTAGCTGTGAAGGGATTTTGAATATATCTTTTGACCATGGATTGATGGATTCATTTGGAACAAATGTAGACTTAACTTTAACTCAGGATTATGTAAATTGCATTTCAACTGACCTTTCTCAAACTGACTCCATTCAAATAATGAGAAATAGATTCATCTTCTCTTCTAACCCCTCCAGACCCCTTGCCTTTAATTTCTGCTGATCATCATGATGTTAATGTGACAGATTCTAATTAGGAAGGTGAAAGTAAGTTTGAAAGAGTAAAATTGAGGGAAGGAAATGTCTAGCAGCATCCTGGGAGGAATGTTACTGACACTAGCAACTAATTATCTGTAAAAATGTTGAAAACAAATTCTTCTATACAATATGAAACATTGGCCGTTCTATTACTGCAAAAATAGCTATGTCTGGTCTGTGGAGACTTTTTCAGCAGAGATTGTTCATCTTGTGATGCCCATGACCATCAGTAAGTGATGAGTAGGGATGAAATCACTGTAATGGTCTTTATAAAATAACTAGGACCATATCTCTTCAGTCTGCTGAAGAGACTGTCATCCTTTTGCATGTAACATCCATAATATAGGCCATATTACAGATGCTGAGTGCTAGAAAAAGAATTGGTATTTCAGTTGAATCCTTATGTTTCCTTGTTCCCAGGCCCCCAGCACACTTAAAAGATGCAGAAAAAGCTCTAAGCATTTCCAATGGGTTTGTTTTTTTTTCTCTGCTGATAAGCTTAAAAGCACAGTGGAGGTTACAGTGTCAGCTAATACTTAGCTAAAGAGTTGCATTACTTGCACCATTACTTCTTCAGATATCTAGTGGCTGTGTAAAGACTGAAAAAACAGGCTGTCCTCCAAGACACTTCCGTTCTCATGAACAACTGTATACTGCTTGCTTTGCCAACTTCAGACATTAACAGTAGTTCTCAGGCTGTTAACTTTATTGAGTAATACAAAGCAACAATTATAAAGAAAATGAAAGATTGGAATCTCTTTTTTAAAATGTTCTTTTCTTTATTCATTGTCACAGGTCATATAGTAGAAAGTCCATAATGCATGCATAGTGCTCCAGGTGCAGTCATCTTTTTTCATGTTCACAAGCCTATCTGCCAAGAATATAGACTATTGTTTCCTGAATGGAATAAAGTCAGAATGAGAAACCAACATGAAAGTTGCTTAATCTTGTCCCTTTACTCCAATGGGTAAGGCTAGACAAGGAAGGACAGAAGGAACACCGTGCAGTTTTTATTTTTCATAATGAGGCTAGATATGTGTGGGTTATTAAAGTCATTTTTCAAAAGCTGCAAATTCCCTTCATGTCTTACTTGTTACAGTCTTTCTAATTCTTTTGTTGTTTCTTTAGACAAGATATCAGGAAGAAATTCCTTACTGTGAGGGTAGTGAGACACCAGAACAGGTTGCCCAGAGGGGTTGTGGATGCCCCCCTCCCTGGAAGCATTCAAGGCCAGGCTGGATAGGGCTGTGAGCAGCTGGGCTAGATGTCCCTGCCTACAGCAGAGAGGTTGGAACAAGATAATCTTAAAGCTCCCTTCCAACCTAAACCATTCTGAGATTCTGTGATTCTGTTTTCCTTCATGCTCATTTCCAGAAGGAAAACATGCAACTTCTGTGAGAAAAAACAAAACAAAACAAAAAAACATTATTTATAGTTGATAATGGATTTTTGTTGTTGTTGTTGTATAACGGGCTGGGAATGATTCTTCTGATAAGTAATGTCTGTTGGCTCTGAGATTAATTTTGCACTGCCAGCATACATGCAAGTGGAAGCCATCATCTCTGGGAACAACTATGTTGTAGATGGAAATTTGGGTTTTTTTGTGCTCAGGGAGAACATTTTGCAGCAAATGTGAAGTTTTGCTAATGGTATAGCTGACAACAAGGAATGAAACTAGTCTGGAATGTGTGTGTTTTACAGGGATTTAGTGCTTTTTTGATCCATCAGAGAAAACTCAGAGAGGAAATAGTTATATCTATACAATGTGGCTAAACATTCAGATTTGTAATGATAATTTCACCTGTTTTTCCCTTTTAACACGAGTGGATGTTTTCCTGATGAGTGTGTAACAGTGTGGCCCTGGTGCATGATTTTGATGCCATTTTTACTGCAATAGGGCTGAATAGCAAGAGTAATTAAAATGTCCATCTCTACTCTGCTTAGCTTTCCCACGTGTTCCCCTGATTTCGATGGCAGTGCTCCAGAGGAAGATGGCATTATTGAGCAGTTTTGCAGAAGTGCCTGCTTCGCAGTTGCTGCTTGCTCTGCCATTAAAGGCATTATTCTGTACCTCAGTGATCAAAGCTGTTGACAATATGTACCTACAACGATTCATTTTCTGTTCTTCTGAATAGAGAAACGTTTTATGGCAGCAGCTCTGCTTGTTATTTCTGTTTGCATTTAATTTTTGTATGCTTGTAAATTCTCTGCAACTATCTGTTTCAGGATCAACTTAGTACAAGATTTCCAGATGCTCAGATATAAGCTTTTATAGAGACACTAATGTATTTTTAGTTGCTTTATTGCTCGCATGGTTATCCTCTTCCCGGCTGTCAACTGCAGTGCAAGGAAAAAAAAAGTCTGAACACAATTGTAGGATTTTATTTCTTTTCAATTTTAAATGCTGTGTCTAATAACGTTATATATTCATATATTTAGTTTTGTATGTTTAAAAACTCAGCTCAGAAAATAATATAATTGCTGTTATTCCTATTTCAAAGGTATGACAGTATTACCCAGTGAATTACAAGAAAAGCTTTTGTGAACTACAAAGGGGGGAGGGTTCTTAGACCTTCAGACTAAGACAAATAATCTGTCATATGTTTTGTAGATAATATAAATCCCTTGAAATTAGTTGCACATGTTAATCTTACATCCATGCTTTGTTTCCTTGCTTATGTTAATATCTAACTTCCAGTTGGAAAAAAAAAGATCAATAGGATGAATTTACATTCTGTTCCTGAACTCCTTATAAAGTAACTGTGATTTCCTTCAAATTAGCATACCTTCTGATTGTTTATAAAAGTTTAGTTAATGGGTTTACTTGGAATTGTTGTATGCAACTGCTTAATATTACAGTTATGATGATATAGATCACATGACAACAGTGGCATCATTTTCACAAGCATTCCCTTACAGTATTTCAAACCTCTTTTTTTCTCCAGAATTTCTGCTGTGACTAAGAAGTTCTCCTTCCACACACATTTTAGCCACTGTCTCATTGGCTCAGGAGATAATTGCTGTGTTGTTTTTATTTCAGTTTAGGGAGTCGGATGACTGATGGAGGTGAGAAGGCAGTTTGCATTGTCTTAGAAGGAGGAAGCTCCTGGCTCTTTTACTGAACCATGTTGCTGAATCAACAATGGATCAGTTTAGAGTTGATTTGGTGTCTTAATGTTCTACAACAAATTGGATGAGTGCATTGCAAGAAACAGGCTGTAATAGAGGATGTTAGAGAAGTGAGATCAGTGCCAGCTGATCTCAGCAGGAGTTGGAAATAAATCCTTTAACCCTCTAACCAGGATACACAATTGGCCAAGGGAATTATAGAGCTTTTGTTTTGCTGTGACACACAGTACAAAGGAAGAATATCAGTACTGTGGAGGATTTATCCAGTTTGAAATACAGTTCTGCTAGGAACTGCTGTCCTTCTCAAGACTTTAAGGTACAGGTTTTAGGAATCTCTTATTTGTTGCCTGGAATTGTTCACAAGGAGTTGAATCTGTGTTCTGCAGATACGAGTCGCAGTGTGGCTAGGCATGTGATACTGCAGTAAGCAACTTCTCCACAAGTCAATGTACTGCAGACGATCTGCAGGAGCAGATGGTGTGTGCATACGGCAAGAAATATGTGATCCGTAGCATGAAGGAAAGGTTACTGCAAAGGCGTGGAAGCTTGCTGTTCAGGACAGGCTGTCAGCATGGAATCAGAGATAACACTTGCGCTGCATTAGGTGTTAAAACTTTGTGTACTTCTATCCAAAACACTGCCTATGTACAACTACTGTGTTTGTCTTCCAGCAGTAAGAATGTCATAGATTTTGCTGGACATTTTACACTGGTATGCCTGGCTAACTACCATGTAAACCCCAGAATTTCTGGCAAATGCAGACTGTCCAGTGAGATTAAGAACTGCAAGTGTAACGGTAGGTTTGGGATCTAGCACTTAACATGACAATCATTTTCATATCTAACACTTCTCACCCCCTTTTAAAATTTGAACAGCATGTGAATAATGTATACAGAAATGCATCTCTGAAGAACAGTATGTTATTAGCCTGCTGCAAGTGGCTAGGGCCAGGAGAGAGTTTTTTAGAGACAATAAAATTGCTGAGCCAATGTAGGTTGGCAGACTGTGATTGCAAGGCAAATAAGAAGCATTTCTGGACTGTTTT